GCCAGCCTAAGGCACACCTGTGCAATAATCATGCTGTCTAATCAGCATCTTGATATGCCACACCTGTGAGGTGGGATGGATTATCTCGGCAAAGGAGAAGTGCTCACTATCACAGATTTTTTCAGATTTGTGAACAATATTTGAGAGAAATTGTTATTTTGTGTATATAGAAAATGTTTTCGATCTTTGAGTTCATCTCATGAAAAATGGGAGCAAAAACAAAAGTGTTGCGTTTATATTTTTGTTCAGTGTAACTTGCAGGATTTTATTTTCACATCGTATGTTGGGAATAGGCTTATATATTTGAGCACATTTTGAAAAAAAAAACATAAAACCAACAATAAATACTAGTTCTAACTTACTTTGTATGAAAGGGGATTAACGCCACATGTGACTTTTTATTTTGGTTTGACCAATGTTTTTTTTTTGTCAGAATTCTAACTATATTCTCAGAATACTACGATTTTGTTGTTGTTTTGAGTTCATTCTCAGAATTCAGTTTTTTCCCCGCAGAATTCTGAAAATAAACATTTCAAGTTAATTTGTCATTTAAAAAATCCTTTTACCAAAAACATTCAGATGAAAGCAAGAGATTGTGACCAACGTTTGTTAACCATCAGAATACCAAGGAAAGATTTTGAGTTTCGAGTTAATTCTGAGAAGAAAATATGTCAGATCAAATCATTATTTGTTTAAGTCAGTAAGTGTATTTTTTACCGACCAAAGGTTGTGGATTATTCAACAAATAATGCCCTATATGTTGAATGTAACTCGGATATTATCTCGCAGAGTTGTGTTGGAAAATATGTGGAATTGAATCCGTCTCGCTGCACATCCATCAGCTCCGTGTCGGCCTCTGTTTGGTTTCCTGGTATGACAGCTGGCTGGGGACGAGCCAAAGGAGGCAGGAAACTGGAGGCACCGCAGCGGGCTCAAACAGGAAGGACCCAGTCCTGGAAAACAACTGCTATTTTAGATTCGGTATGCACCAAGTCAGACAAAACATCTCAAGGGACGTCACCTAAAAGAGGGGAAATCCTATGTTATTTCTGCTCAAATAAATGCTCTTAACTGTGGATCTGACAGGTGATGAGTGGCTTTTATCATAAATACACTTCTTAAATGGCATTTTGTATGTTTAGTTGTTGCTAAACTTGAATCAGAGAGTAACAACAAGATGGGAAATTGTAGTGTTTACTTGTTATTACAGCTCATTTTGCCCTCTATCTTTTAATCACGCTTGAAACCGTCACCCTGAGCCCTGCAGTTCACTCTCCTGTTGGTCTTTTATTGAAACCTTCCTCTCTAATCATTTCAGTCCCGCTGGAAAGACACTCTCCCTCACACACACACACACACACACACACACACACACACACACACACACACACACACACACACACACACCTTTTTGGGGTCTGACCTCTGTATGACGAGTCTCTGCTAATGACAATGTGTGACTTCAGACACGATCACCTGCTCTGACTCAAACACAAACACACACAGTCATCTCTTCGGGCTTCTCTCGACCTGAATGTTGCTGTTCTTGCAGAAATTACACCCCCAGTGCAGAGGGGCTGCTGGTATTTGGGGCCCCGGGCCAAAAGCTTTCATGTGGGGCTTTGGGAAGAGCAGCGGTCTGTCTCTTCAAACACACTGGGAGATAATGGCTTAGAGACACACAGGGAGGGTGGCTGAGAGCGGGGGGGGCGTCGTTAACAGACACTAAAGAGAGGGTTTAGTGGTTGTTAATGACTTATCTCTCTGCCTTTTACAATGTTATGATGTTTATTTTATTTGGTGATAAAAGTAATTTACTGCATCACTATCATCCATTAACAGGACGACCCAGAAGTAAGCATTGCAACGGCTTCCTCGACAAAAAGCAGTGTGATCTTTCCATTGGATTTCAGTATAATGCAGAAAATAAGCTTTGTAACAAACAGGTTTATGACTTATTTACTTAGCACGTGTTAATCAGCAGAACCATCTCCATATAGGTACAACCGTCTGTGATCTTTAAAGCATAAATGCAATTGGCAGAAGAAAAAAGCCAATGTTTATAGAGAAACTACATCATGGTGTCATGACTGTGCATCACCAACTCTAAGCTAAAGGTGGACTCGTGTAGGCGTGATGACGTTTACTTTTCTTATTTAGTAACTTGTTAGCAGCCGACATTTTTCTGACACACTTATTGACTGATGTGTTTTTTGTCATAGAATAAAACGTGAACATCTCCTCCTCCTGTGTTAACCACAGACTTTATCTCAGGTGTCTAACTACAGAGACTTTTGAAAACCATTGTCTTCAAGACAAGGGAACCAAAAGTGTTCAAATGCAAACTCACTTCCAGGTTGGAGGACTCATTCCTGCACCACTGTATACCGTAGACTACATGCCACAGGAGCAATGACCCAAGGACACTTTGCATGTTAAATGTAGAGGATGGGGACCGTGGTATAAGTAGACACACATTTTTTGGGGGCATTTTTGGTTTGTAAAAATAGATATACAGATACGGGACAACACGTAAGGCAACCAACTGCATTAAAACTCTGTGGTCAGTCTTTGTGCATGATGCTCATTACAAAATTAGCTATCGTGGCGTCCCCCTATTTACCAAATTTCATTGCAATCCATTCATTAGATGTAGAGATATTTGACTCATAAAAACACATGCTTAAATAAAAGTTAGAGGAATATGAGTCAGTAGCATTCATTCTCTTGGAACCGTGAATTATAGCAGTGTTTCGTGGCATCCATAGTACCGTAGTTGAAATATTTCCGTCTGCACCGACGTGGTGCACCACTCTCTCCGAGGTTCCCTGGAGAGCTGTGTTGTGGCTTAAAAGGAAATCCCAGGCAAGGAAGTGAGCCCTTCTGAACCTGTCATAGATATTTTTCTTTCAAAGCAAATATTTCAGATGGAAGTGAAGAGAAGAAGGAACGAGTGGTTTCAGTGCGTCAATGATGAGTGAAGATGCAAGCATTCAAAAAATGCACCGAAATCTTAACCGTAGATTAATTAACTTATTTTAACCTTGTTTTAGTGACAAATCCGAGAATAATCTCCTATTTGTATGACTGTGTCAATGAATCATCATCTCAGTTTCCACATGGTGTAAGTTTGTTGGGAGGAACTCAATGAAATTGCTGTTTGTGGTAAGAGGAGGAGTGGCAGACTCACAGTTGCTGTGGGTTTGTGGACAGACAGAAAAGAAAGTGAGAATGAAGGGAGGAAGAGAAGGAGAACAACATGGTGGGTTCAGTTTATGGGAAACCACAACTGATGAGGTTTGTTGTGATCCAGATCTGGGATTGTCTGCTACAGATTTAATCCCTCACTTAACGTAGATTGAATGTCGGCAAGGTCACATCAAGTCAAACTGAACGTCAAGGGCCCATAAGTGAAAATAAATATGCATAATATCAAAGAATTGTCTACTTTTTTCTTAAAAGGGAGACATGTTGTTGTGGGGTCGTATGAGGTACTTCTCCATAGTCAGTTTGCACAGCTAATACAGCTAAATGTATTCTAAAGGAAAGGTCATTTGACTGCTTTCCCTCGCTGTGAGACTGCAATACCATCTATGTTTACAGCAGGGAACTAAAGTTGTGATCTATTATCCCTTCAAAGTCACCAGACTCCATCGACAAAAACAGTCATTTTACCGTGGGCCGGGGGATCACAGAAGATACTGCTGTCGCTATTGGTTGTCTTATTTTTTGTGTTCCTTTGAATTTTGTAAAGCAGAACTAAATACTGTTTAACCAAAGTCACACAAAAACATAAACAAACCATCTGATCAAGGCAGAATAAATGCAGCATCTCCCAGGTGCTACAGTATGAGGTCAAATGACTGTTTTTGTCAATGGAGTCTGGTGGCTTTGAAGAGACATTGAAAAGCTTCAGATCTCAGAAAAGCACTGACAGTAAGCAGTGAAATTATACCAAAAAAAGGTACAGTTAAAATCATATAAACCTTTTTTAGAGGCTGAATTGCGTTGTGCTGCTAAAGAAGTTAACTGCTTTGCTCCTGTTTCAGTATTTATACTTTATTCTCCAAACTATGGTCAATATCATATAACAGCCGATGGTGGTAATACACTGACAAGGACCTCATTCAACCCCATTTCAAAACATCTGAACTCTCCCTTTATTCTAATTTCATTTTAGAGGACGGAAGAGTATGATGGCAGAAATGTAGGAATGTGGTAAATACACAAATTGTAACCTTGATTAGTGACCACAAGTGATTTAAAATGAAACCCTCAACTTCCTCGTCGTCTTCCAGCGGCTCGACATCTCTTGATCTTGGGTTTTTGTTATTCGGGCCGGGTGTCAGTCCAGTCAGAAGAAAAACTGCTGTGGCTTCAGAGCGCTGACCGAGTTGCGTGCAGGACTTTCAGACTTTAAATATGGTGTTGTGTGTCGTGTTGTGGCTCTTCTGGGGACAATAAATATCACTTTCAGGATTCACGTTGTGCTCGTGTCGGGAGGGCAGCTTCCATCTGCACCGTGAAAACCAGCCAGATATTCGGGCAGCAGCTCCTTCTCTTTCGGTCCCACTGGAGAACTGGAATTGCTATTGTTTTCCAACACGGCTGCTATTATTTCCACCAACGATTGAAATATGAGGCCATGTGGCAATATCTGCTGTGTTACTTGAGGGCATGGCCGAACAGGGGGCATTCAATAACAAGTCTATCAGGAAAGGAGAAGTTGGCAGCAGGTTGTTGCTGTTCAAAACAACTTTCACACCTAATTGTTTTTCCAAAAACCTTCCATATATCTTGGTAATTTAAAAAACACGCACTTTGTTCTGGATCTTAACTCTTAGGACATTATAATCTAACACAATACAAACACAGACACTGTTGATGACTGTAAAAGATGACACTCTTGTACACTTCAAGAGACAGAATACTTCCAAAAAATCAGTCTGAAGATGTGTCTGAAGATGATCTTAAATGTTAACTCTCTGTCACACAAAGCCAACACTCGCATGACAATGTGGATATTTGGACCATCAATGGTTTCCTGTCAATATTCAACCTTTTTAAGCAGGAAACACAGATAGTAGAATAGCTGTCATTGTACAGCACAAAGGGTTCCCTATACGACAATGATTAAACCAACATGATAACAAAACAACAAGGCCTGCTTCTAGAAGTTTTTCTTGGTTTCTCCATCACCTGCCCAACATTTTTTATTTAAAGGATTAAGATAATGTTTCTATCAACAGCTCATGATGACAAATTAAAATGGAAAAAACACTTGACACCTCATTTATATTTTAAAATCCAGGGTTGGTCTAGGTTGCGTCATTTTGAAAAAATGCACACCTGCGTTGTTAAGTGTTAATGAGGACTTTCCTCGGCTGTTAAATGGACCTTAACCTATTCAAATGACCAGGGTTGTATTGTTTGCTTTCATGAAGCTACAACATGTTGAAGCCTTATATTCTTTATTTGAATAAACAAGATATTGCACATCCCAAATGGGTTGAAAAAGTTTGGGAAGGCGATCCTTTGAAGGGATGAGACGGAAATAGGTCAACTGTTTTGACTCGACCCCTGTTCATTTTTAAACAATGATGCTAACAGAATTGAGGTGGCATCTGTCTGCAAGATGTGCTGACGTGGCGTATCTGTACGGGTATTTGTATTAGTTTCACAGTTTTCACAATAAGTCAATAAAGTCTTACGAATATAAGCAGAACAATTACCCATGTGACTGATCTTCTATTTAGTTTGTCTAGTTATATCATAAGTGTTGCTTGATTTGTAGTAAGTTGAGGAGGAGCCTCACATTTTGTATTACACCATCTGTCTTAACTGTGGTATTTTGTATTACGTAAAGTACATGTTCCACTACTGAGAACTGTTATAATGAAGTAAAACTATTAAAATAAGGGAAAAGCAGAATATTATTGTATTTGTGAAGTTGGAAACATTAAAAATATGCATGTGTGCATGTTAAATGACTCAAACGATGAAAAAAAGTTGTCAATTAATTATTTGTTTCAAGTAAAAGCATCACATGAAGAGAAAAGGCTTAAGAAAAGCACAAATACCTCAAATGTGTGATTAATTACGAGTATAAGTACTGGTGTTTTATTTTTTGTTATGTTTTATGGTCTGGTGCATGATGTGAGGTCACTGCTCACTTCAAAGGGGATGCCTCGTCGCGTGACGTAGCGCTCGTGCTGCTCTCAGTGTGTCTGAGCGAGGCAGAGGATGAGGAGGAGATGATCTGAAGACGCTGAGAGGACTGCTGCTTTCTGTGTGACTCACTTTACGACTTCTTGGTTCCCATAGACGGACGATAAAGCGGAGGATTTACCCCGGAGGTATTTCACTGTTTGGCTTTTTCTTTAGTTTTCATTCTTGATTTACGGGTGAATTTTAGAGCGATGGTAGCCTAATAATTCCGTTAGTCAACAGAGAGTAGTAACACTGTATAGGCTATACCTTGTAAAGCAGCACGGAAGAAGTCATTAAAATGTAATGTATGTAATGATTAAATTAACATATACTTATTATAATCATAGCGTTATTGGGGTTGGGTTGATATAGGGGGTTGCAATCTTTAAAGGCAGAGAAAGAGAATTGGAAGGAGATAATTGAATATATTAAACGTATTTGTCTAATGACAGGGGTTTGAGAGAAGTTTATTTAGTTCCTAATAGATTGATAGTCTATAATGTCATAAAATAAAACGAGTGATAAATGTTTTTTATATACTTTGACGTTATTTGTATTAATGTAGGATGAAAGTAGGCTGTGTTTAACAACCATTGTGAACACACCAAACATTCTTTCATCTAAAACGCTGGAAAGGAAGCTCATGTTTTATTTACGTATTTATTTACATTTGTATTAATGTAATGCAATACTGATTCTGACATTGGATTATCAGCACTCCACCGTCTCCTTTGAGTCACATATTTTAGGGATTTTGAAAGAGAATTAAATACCTCTTTAATACAGATGATTTAATACAATTGCGTGCATCGAATTAATTGCTTGCCAGTGTGTGATTCATCGGCGTCCTCCTCTTGGTATATATGTTGCCAATATTAGTAATTGTCTTGACAGCAGAGCAGATAGGGGTTCACTCAGTATGTGTTGTGACGGTTGCTCCGCAGATCACCATGCTGACCCCGCTGCGCTCCCTGCTGGCCGCCAGCCTGCTGCTGCTGCTGCCCGGCTCTCAGGCCTGGAGCCCCCGCTACAACAACGGCTTTCACTACCAGGACATCAGCCATGGAAACGGAAACGGAGAGAGTAAGTGTGTGTGTGTGTGTGTGTGTGTGTGTGTGTGTGTGTGTGTGTGTGTGTGTGTGTGTGTGTGTGTGTGTGTTTAATTTAATTTATTTGTTTTATGTCCAATATATATTCATGTTGCATTGTTGGAGGAGCCTGTGACTTAAGTTTTTCATTGCCATATCTACTAACTATGGATATGGATATATTTCCATGTTATGCTTACTTCTACTCCACTACTAAAGGGAAATATTGTACCCTTTACACTACAGAATGTATTTGATACCTTAAGTTATTGGTTCATTTCCATATTCAGATTGATAATAGCCCTACAAAATATTTAAAGAAATTATTATTGCAGGCAGCAAATGAAGTAGTTGAAATGTGCTCCTTTACTCACTTAAACATTAGTTAGACTTGCGTATGAATGCAACAATGATTATAATCAAGTGATGATTCTGAAATGGGGCAGTCTGCATGATGCATACTCTTATTTTGATATGTGAAAGCTAATATTTTGTTTGTTTTTTTGTAAAACTTTAAATACTGTTTGCTTGAAACAAAATATTTGACACAATCAGAGCAAGTCAGAACTTTGAATACTATCTCCACCTCTGCTGTGTGTGAGAAGCAGATTAATAACATGGTTCATTTGTTTACATCACAGCAGCTGGATGTGCTGGGAGGAGGGGTGGAAATAACAAACTCTGTAGTTATTGATGTTGTTTTTGTAACGGTTGACCTGTGTGAGTGTGGTGAACATATCTGTTTGTGTTGCACTAAACAAAAATATAGACCTATCCAAAGTAATTAGTAGCGTTTATTTGTGTATACAGGAAATAATATAAGACATTTGGGACCACTGTTAACATTAAAATCATAGACTGTATACAAAGTTGGAAACACAGACTCATTGACGTAAACTGTCCTGCAGGGGGCGTACATTCTGTGTTTGATGTCAGACCAGTCGAGGGTTAGAATATGACTGAACACATCTTTCTCAGGGCAGTTTCTCTAAATGCATTTGTGTGAATAATAACATTTATGATTACGCTCTAATCCATGAAGTTTGGCCAGAGAGACTGTATTGATGTTTTTAGTAACACCTTAGTTTAACAGGTAAGCATGTCCACTGTGAGGTCCGTGCAGATGTGAAATGATGCTGATTCAAAACAGCTGCAAAATTAATCAAAAATATCAGTGCCCCAACTTAACTCCTGTAAAAATTGTCTTCCTATGTTTATGTGTTGCACAATAACATCAATGCAACTTCCTTAATATACTTATTAACCTGGCAATAAACTGAATTCTGATTCTGGTTAAAAATCTGTGGGACCTTGTGGGATGGTGGATTTAAGACAAAGTGCTCCATTACATGACCAGTGAGGAGTAAAGGCACATATCAGAAAGATTTAGCTTTAATAATCCTATAAATATATATTCTTAAAGGTCCCCTATTATACTGTTTTTCATCAATATGGTATAGGTCTCAGATATATACAAAACATGTCTCTGATTGGCTGAAACACCAAACAGATCATTGCAGCATTACCCATAATCCTCTCTGTTTCAGCCCTGTTTCCAAAGTGCTGATTCTCTGTCTGTTACTTTAGATGAAAATAAGGAGCCCCTCCCCACGCCCCTCTGAGAGAGATTTGGTTACAAAGAACACAATGGTGCTCTTGGAGGAGATTCAGGTGATAAGGTGTGGGGGGGTTACCTTGGTTGCTGATTGGCTAATGGTTACACAAGCCAAAACATCGTTCTTACATCATAAAGTGGCCGAAATCTGATCAGCTCATTTTCAGACAGGTTGTTATATAAATGGATCGCGACAAAAAGAGAGGGAATCTTTTTTCCACATGTTGATGTAGAAGAGACATGAAGTAGTGGATTTTGCATAATCAATCAATGTTTATTTATATAGCCCAATATCACAAATGTTACATTTGTCTCAGTGGACTTCACAGTTTGTACAGAATATCAGTATGACAATACGACACCCTCTGTCCTTAGACCCTCACATCGTACAAGGAAAAACTTTCGCATAATAGGCGACCTTTAATATTTCAGTTCTTGTGTCTTCTCTAGTCTACTTTAACGGGGTGCGCCTCCTGGTGGAATCCCCTGAGATCTCGGTGTCGGCCTCCAGGGGCAGCAGTGTCACGCTGCCCTGCCACTTCCACTACGAACCCGAGCCCTCTGCGCCTCGCAGGACTCGGGTCAAATGGTCGTGGCTTCCCGCCAACACCGTCAGTGCACCCGTGTCCCCGCAAGACCTCGCCATGGAAACGGAGGTCATGGTGGCCATGGGCAACCGTCACCGCAGCTACGGCAGCTTTAAGGGAAGGGTCCGTCTGCGACGCTCGGCCCCGGGCGACATGTCGTTGGTGATCAACGGGCTGCAGCTCAACGACACGGGGAGATACCGCTGTGAGGTGATCGATGGCCTGGAGGACGAGAGTGTGACGGTGGACCTGGAGATGAGGGGTGAGGAGAGTGTGTGAGTGTGAACTGTAGATGAGGGGTGTGTGCATGTCATGTCCTTCAAAAAGCCAAAATCTTAGTTTAGGAGACTATGTGGTCCTTCCATCATAGTCCCCGCTGCAAGGACACTACTTCGCCAAGAGGAGAGAGGCTGGCCTTTTTGACAGAAGTGAAACAGAACAAATTCAACTGGTGCACCTTTCAATCATACTTACCAAAATCCTTTTCATTCATAATCATTGCTCTTTCTTAATGGACAGTATCTGACCACCAGGTCTATGTCTATGTCTATGTATCACCTTAAAAGCTAATTTCTAACCTCTCCTCCCTCTGTAGGTGTGGTGTTCCCCTACTTCTCTCAGAAAGGACGCTACCTTTTTAACTTCTTTGAGGCCAAAAAGGCGTGCAAGGATCAGGAGGCCACGCTGGCTACATTTGAGCAGCTCTTCACGGCGTGGGATGAGGGGCTGGACTGGTGTAACGCCGGCTGGTTGGCTGACGGCACAGTGCAGTATCCAATCACAGCCTCTCGTGACGGATGTGGTGGAGATGACTTAGCTCCTGGTCTGCGCAGCTATGGACAACGACATCGCCTCCTCCACCACTACGACGCCTTCTGCTTCTCCGCCTCTGTCAAGGGTCAGTATGACTGATTGGGAACTTTTCAAAAGGTGCAAGATATGGCCATAGATATCTACTTATTCTGGTGCAAAGATATCTAATGAACTTAATGAACAGTCTAGGCCCATTCTTTCTTGTAATGCCACTTCCTCCTCGAGATGCAACACTGGCCGTTTCTCAATCGCGAGGATGCTTGCTTGGTAGCACATGTCTTCCGAGTCACTTCCTTCAGAAGCTAGGCAAGAATCCTTCCTGGCATTCGGAAAACGAAGAGTGGAACAGGCTAGCAAGTGTGCAGGTGTGCGTCATATGAGAGGCCCCGCCTTACATTTTCCGCCACAGATTTGGGGAAATTGGTCCGTGCGCAAAGCATTGTGGGGATTTGAAGGACGCGAAGTCTACCCATGTGCAGCCTCGAAATTACCCCCAAACCAAGGACGCGGCCTCAGTGGAATTCCAAGTATGCTGGAGATTGGAACAGTCCTTCGGCGGCACTCGATGACGTAGTATGCTTGAAATATTGGCTTGGAAGCCAGTTTCCTCGCGATTGAGAAATAGCCAGTGAGTCACTAGTGTCCAGTTTCTACTTATTAAAGAATGAAACAACAATCTAAGAATATATACGAAAGACCAGAGAAGTAGAGCCGTCCGAGGCCATGTCAAATTTCACGTTGAAAGTACAAGGTCAGTTTATTGGATTCAATCCAATGAGGCAGAAACAAAAACGACTCGTTCGCCTCGCCTTTGGTTGGTGGTTTTGGTTTTGCCTCGTATTCGGGTAACACAAAACCGGCGATAGGGTTGTGTTTGGCTGAGATTGAGCTTCTGTAGACGCTAACTGAAGGTCCATCTCCAATTTCCTTTGCCCCTCTTCCTCATGTGGTCTAATGGTGGCAGACATGATGAGGCTAAAGTATAGGTTGTTTTTCAGTTTCTGTAGAGTCAGATTTAGTTTGTTAAATACAGTTTACATGAAATGCAGCTCCCGGTTTCTTTCACAGTAAACACAAAGATGGCTAGCACGCGCTATTTTAACCTACTAGGCCTTTTTATACGGCTGATAGGCGTGTGGCGCAGTGGATAGAGCGTTGGTCTGGGGATCAAATGGTCAAAGGTTCAAACCCCACTGCGGTCAGCATGTCGTTGTGTCCCTGAGACACTTCCCCCCAAATTGCTCCTGTGGAGATTGTCCACAGTATTGAGTATGTAAGTCGCTTTGGGTAAAAGCGTCTAACAAGTAACATGTAATGATACATGTAGATTTAGACTGTCTACTCCTAGGCATTGCACACTGCATCTTCAAACCCAAATACATCAAGTTTAATCCCTATGATTCTCTTCTGATTTAGGGACCGTGTACTTCTTAAAGCACCACACCAAGCTCAACTTCACAGAAGCGGTCCAGGCTTGTGCCAGTGATGGAAGTCAAATTGCCAAAGTGGGCCAGATGTACGCCGCCTGGAGGCTGATGGGGTTGGACCGCTGTGACGCCGGATGGTTGGCTGACGGGAGCGTCCGTTATCCCATCACAAAGGCCCGAGCTAACTGCGGCCCACCAGGACCAGGGGTGCGTAGTTTTGGGTTCCCCCCTCTGAGCCTGAAATTTGCCGTCTACTGTTATCGGTAGATGCTTCGGCTCAAAATAAGACAAACAGCGCATTGGTTCAAAACTGGGTTTGTGAGGTTAGCATTAGCTATAGCCTGGGAGCAAATTAGCAGTTTCTTCATTTCTGAGCTATTTCAGTCCATTTGGGTTAGTCACACTCCACCTCCGTAAGACTGTATTCGTATTGAACTTTAGTACCGACAAACTGTGTTTAAATGTGTACATTTATCATGGGGTGCCATTTGTACTTAAACAAATGTCTCTGTAGGCTATATGGCCAGAACAAGAACATTACACCCACGTCTCAATACAAAACCATGGACATTAGCATGCTGCTTATACAGCTACAATATTTTTAAATCCTATTTTATAGGTTGATATTGGGCAATAAGGCTCACTGTCTGTGTTCCAGTTCATCTCAGAGGTGTCGGTGGGTTTCGGGCAACTTTTGGGTGTGCCTTGGTAAAAAGCACCTTGTCGGATGAGGTAGTGAAGAGGGTTTTCCTCTCAGATCTTTCCAGCTGGTCCATGATTGTACTCTCATTTACTCTCGGTAACTCTTTTTGACTTTCTAACACTGTGAAATATACTGGAGTCTTTGTATGTCTTTGTATCCCATTAGAGAAGTGTAATGCATCTCTTTTTGCATTTTTCTGGGCGATTAAGAGTAGTGCTCTGTGATGGAGAAACCAGAATTTAAGAGTAAGTATCTGTATTGTTTTTATGTTTAAACTACCTTACCTTGTTTACATCCTTTGTGGAAGAAGAAGCAGTGTTTCATCAAATACTTATGTATCTATTGGTTTTGTGTTTCATTGTATATGTATATGCATTTGTAATGTTTTCTACAAATAAATAAATAGACTACTGTAAAGATGTCTTCATATAAAGTGCATTGGTTATAATATTGGGTGATTTAGGAAAAATATAATTTCATACATCAAAGTTATTGCAGACGGAAAATGTGTAGTTTCGTGTCTCTTTGTGGTCCTTTGACCCGTTTGTGTCTCATAATTGTTTTACGGCTTTTTGTAGTAATTATGCGTCCCAACACTTTGGTCCGCTGGGGATGTGCCCTGTAGATATTTTAGTAATCCGTCCATGCAAGTACAACTACTAGAAATCATAAGAAATAGTTTGGTAGATTAGCAGGAGTGTTGTTAGAGAATGGAGGACTGATTAGCCACTGATGCTAAACCCCTGGAGACACCGTGATAACAGCTGAAGAGGATGGGTTTCACCATGAGCAGAGAATCTCTTTTCTTTTACTGCTGTTTTGGACCATGTGATGGTTTCGAAGGCTCGAAATCCACTTCAAAGCCTTGGTACGGTGCATGGGGGAAACAGAGTCCAGTCTTGCTGCTTTGGGTGAGTCAAACGTTTGTTAACCTACAGTTATAAAGCTAAGTTTGAATGTATGCATGCTAAGGCTAGCAGGTTTGCATAATACCTTGTTAACATGCTAGCAGGCTTAGCCATTAGCTTTTCAAAGTCACCAGCTAGGGCTAGCTAGCTTAGTAAGCAACGTCTATCCGTTAAGTTAAGCGTTTTTTGGGCGGGGGTTTTGGATGACAAGAAACACACTAAAAATAAAAATTAAGCTATTGAGAATAAAAGGAAGAGCCATGTATTTTATAACTAACAAATGCTGAACAACGCCACCTTTTTGTCTGTTTTCTTTTTAATGGGACCATCATTTACTGAATGAATATCAGGAGAACATTTTAAACTAGCAATTTAGACCATAAAGTGATTAGGAACATGTCTAAGAAAGTAGTAAAAAAGTGATGAATTAATTTCTCATAGACTTTTATACAAGCTAACTTATCTTTCTCCCCCTGCTGGCCATTAATGATAATGCGTGTTTAAGACTTAATGAATTGAAAAGGTTGTCACTTAGTGGCTAAATACTGATTATCGGTTCTCAAATTAATAACATGTTTAGATTTTTGTTATGCTTTGAATTTGCTGGATTTATGAAACACTGATGTTTTCAGTGATTTGTGTGAACCACCCCTGGTTGGTGTGGCTCTCAAGGTGTGATACAGTTTCACTCACAGTCCAAACAGGAATGCCAGGGTAGAGAGGTGAGATGGGTACGTGACTCGTACAAAACAGCCACTGTATGTAAACAGCGTCTCTCTGTCTGGGCGCGAGATGCACTTTTAGATGAGTGGGGTCGAAACGTTACTACGCCCTCCTGCATCCCGGTGTGAACAGTAGTCCCAGTGATTATATGGTCAGCTAGTTTTTCATAAACACGTCCTATTTACACCTGAACACACACACATAAACACACACAGGGATTACATGCCTACACGTACACATCAGATTAATGTACACACACACACACACACACACACACACACACACACACACACACACACACACACACACACACGCATATACAGTGTCACTGTGCAAACGTTCCGCACGTGCACTTGTATACATACAGAGAAGATCTGTTTGAGGCGACTGACGGGATGAAGGTAGGCGCTGTCGAAGAAGGAGGAGGTGAGGACTGTGAGTTTTTCACGGTTGGGTTCCACAGGAAGGTGAAAACAAACTAAATGCCAGGTTTGTTCCTTTGGCTCGGAGAGTCCACCTCAAATTCTAACAGCTCTGGGGAAAGATGGTGTTTCTACAGAATGACAGAAAACCTCTGTGTGTGATTTTCATGAATGAAACACAGTTTTGACTCCTGGATAATAAGTGAAGGTTTTGCACACGAGGCCAATAACTTCACAGAGAGATGATTCCAAGTTTTATTTGGTACAGCACAGTACAGTATGTTCACATCAGGATTCGGGATCTGAACACAACAGACGTGTCTGTGTGCCACGTTACACACATTTTGGTTTACTCGTCTAAAGATTTGATGACAAATCTAAAAACTGATAAAGACTCACTGATGTTATCCCCCGTGAGCATACACTCTGTAATTGATATCCAGATCGACTTTATTTACTTTGAGCCAGCTAGGTGTATCTTTGTGGCGTCGTCACGCAAAGTCCTCTACTTTCATATTTTGTAGTGTGTATACTCAATTGTGAGTGTGTGTGTGTGTGTGTGTGTGTGTGTGTGTGTGTGTGTGCGTCCATGTGTGTGTGGTTGCTGTTTAAGAGTTTGAATCCTGACCTTTTAAAGGTCATGGTCATAATCATTTTAAAACCTCCATCTCAACACTCTCTTTTTAATTTAATTTTTAATATAATTTCTACTGTTTTCACATCTTATTTTCCCTAAAATTGTGTAATTCCTCAAGTTTTAAGAAGTACATTTCTGCTGATAGGTCTGCATGAAACACAGCAAGGAACTTCCACAAAGATGTCTTTATTAGAAAAATCAGTTTGTGTCTTCATACGCTGTTTGTCAAAATCAAAAGTCATTCCTGCTTGATAAATAACTCATAGCTGCAACTTAACAGCTATTTAAACTAACAAAGCAACACAGATTGATGATGAACTAAACAATTAAATTGTCAGCTCTGTGTAGGTCATTGACAGATCCTGCTGTTCAGAGAATTGTAGAGAGAGTATTTACAGTGAGAAACTTCATTCAGCAAACACTGAATCTCATAAAAGCATGATCTGACGGTGCTGACACCGATTGCTCTGGAGAAATGGCAAATGTAAACCTGCAAAATTGGGAGGAGATCTTTTGCCGAAAGCAACCAATTCAGTGTCATACTGTAGATCTCACTTTTATTCAGTTTCCTTGCCATGTGTCAGCTACAGATGAGGATATGTTTAAGGTGCACTGGATTCAAATGATTAGCACAGAAGTGACTGAAGACTCCTAAAAGTGCATGAGTGCTGATTATTTTAATCCAGGTTTGTTGCAGTGACTTTTTTACGATTTCTATATTCATCATCAGTTGGAACAGCACAATCATGTCAGTATTGCTGATACTGCGGTTGTGTTGTTGCACAGGGGCATCATCTCTTGCCCTTGCTTGTACTCATATCTGGGATTTTATGCAATACTGTAAGCGTCTGATAAATCAAATACAAATACACTTTACCTTCACAGTTCTCTATGTTGTTAACAAGAGCTTATGGCTGTATTTGAAGGGGTCACTGTATTCGCCTATTATGTAAAAAAACAACATAAAACAGTATTTCACCAGTCTGAAGAACATGTAGTCCTTAAAGATCAAATAAAAGAAATACAAATGACTACAAACACAGAGAAAAATACCCTAAAAACATAGCAAAAGTCTATGTGTTTGACTTCAGAGAATCCAGCTGCAATCGAAAACACTTGGTTGTTTTGGACTTTGCGTGTCACTCTGAAACCTCTCATGTCACTCTACCTTAACTCTGTGTGCAGTGCTGGCAAATGATTGCAGGAAATGTCAGAATGTGCATTGAGATAATGCTTCCAATTACTAGCCATAAATCAGACAGTATAAATACCTATAGAAACCGCCTTCAGGAGGTGCAGGGTGACACTCAAAGATCCAAAACAATTACACTACCACTGTCTAAATGTGCTTTAGTGTGTGTCCATACACGGTGGGGAATGTTTTCTTTTTGGTCGGGCATTTGCATCGGTGTCCATGCTTCTTTACAAGAGGGGGGGGGTGGGGGTCCTTTGTGGCTCTCTGTTGTATGTCCTTTTTATTCCTGCTCAGAGCAGCTTCCTCTGTTCCTATTGGCTCCTGACGCCTTTACTTCTCCTCCTGAGGGATCTTTTGTGTAGCCTGTTGCTGTTGGCGCCGGCTGCGGGAGAAAAGGAAACCAAACTGTTAACATCAGGTAAACATGAGGGGCCAACAGATGAATTAATGAATGATTTATCTAATATATCATATTCCAATCACTTGTATATAGACTCTTATTGCACTATTTCACTACTTTACTATTCTTGTTTGTATGCACTATGTTATCTGTTTGATTGTGTTGCACTGTGGGAGGAGCCTGTGACCTAAGATTTCATAACTACACCTGTAGCATGTTATTGTTTTGAGACACATATGACAGTATTTCTCACCTTCTGTACATTCCACTTGAGGCTGCTCCCACTGTCCGTCGGGCAGGCAGCGGATGACGGGCAGGTGGCGCTGTGTGTAGCCGGCGTCACACTGGTAGCGGACTATAGAGTCGACGGGGTATCGCTCTCTGCCGCTGCCCATCGGCCGGCCGTGCTCCACCTCAGGAGGGGATCCACACATGGCTGGAAAACAAGACAGAGAAAAGGTTATTAAAGGTCCCCTAGTATACTGTTTTTGATCAATATATTATAGGTCTCAGATATATATACAAACATGTCTCTGAAGTGTTTGGCTCCAAACACCAAACAGATCATTGCAGCATTACCCATAATCCCCTCTGTTTCAGCCCTGTTTCAAAAGTGCGGATTCTCTGTCTGTTACTTTAGATGAAAAATAAGGAGCCCCTCCCCACGCCCCTCTGAGAGAGATTTGGTTAGAAAGAACACAATGGTGCTCTAGGAGGAGATTCAGGTGATAAGGGGGGGGGTTGGTGATTGGCTAATGGTTACACAAGCCAACAAATCGTTATGACATCATAAAGTGGCCAAAATCTGATCAGCTCATTTTCAGACAGTTTTTTATATAAATGGATCAGGACAAAAAGAGAGAGAATCTTTGTTCCTGAAACTTTCAGAATCTCTTTCCACAGAGGGGACACATGTTGATGTATACAAGACGTGAACAAGTGGATTTTGCATAATAGGTGACCTTTAAGGCAACTAGTAGTAGAAGCTTGTCTTGGTCCAGGTTGGTCGTTCATCATTTATCAATCAAACTGCTCCACATCCTGAACAAATGTTCCTTCTAGAAAGTAACTTCCTGGCCTGATACATATTTAAACCCAGTGAGCCTACCAGGTCCAGTCTTGCAGGTGAAGGGGAGGTGGTAGTTGCACGGCACGTCGTTCCACTGTCCGCCCTCGTGCCAGATCATCACCACACAGTCCTCCTCAGAGTTGAAGTAGTTATCTGGCTGGTTGGGCCTCCAGTTCTCAAAAGACTATGAAAGGAACATAGACGATTAATGGATACATAAACAAAGATGAATAACTTATAGCTGTAAAGAAACCAGACTCACCAGAGGACTGCCGTCTGTCCAGCGGAACTGATTCTGCACGTCTTTGTCGTTCAGTCCAATCCACTGGTAGTCCTGGCCATTGGCTGCATTGCAAAATAAAAAACTGATTTAAGCTTTTTAAACCACTTTTACAAGTCCTCCCTCAAAGTAGGGGTACATACCTGGGGTGTGGATTAGCATGTGTGGGAACAGATGGATGCATTGATGATTACATAGTTTCAAGTCCCTCTTAAAGAAGTGTGAAATATCACGACCATCTCTCATCTTTTTTGCATCTTTTCTAACCCTTTTATCTCAGAAAGAATTATAATTTCTTTTTTTAGCGCTCATTCGCCAGTACAGTAGTTCTTGTTACATTGAGTAAAAGAGGGACATGATCATTCAATGGCTTCCCACTTGTAAACCAACTTGTGTAGCATGTATAGCTTTCTTAATACAGCCCCGCCTGTAACTAATCTATTGCATTAGATATTTAAGATATTTCCTTTAGAATTATATATATATATTGTTTGCAGATCCAAAAAACCCCCAAAACACTTAAATCCGTATGACTTGAGTTTGCACATGCTCAAATGCCAAAGATTGCCCTGCAACAAGCTGGACACAGACACACACTCACATTCACAGATGCACGCACACACGCGCATACAGACACACACAGACACACACACACAGATGCACGCACACACAGACACACACAGACACACACAGACACACACACACAGACACACACAGACACACGCTCACAAATGCACGCACACACAGACACACACAGACACACACACACAGACACACGCTCACATATGCACGCACACACAGACACACACAGACACACACAGACACACACAGACACACACAGACAAACGCTCACAGATACTCACAGTTGACAAACTGCTGCTCGTCCTGGGAGCCGATGCTGACCAGGTGGGCGTTGACCTCCTGGCAGCGCTGCTCGGCCTCAGACCAGGTGTCTCTCTCCGCAAAGTGGAGGTAACAGCTGCCCTTGAACTCCAGCCAGCCCTCAGCACAGCCCTGCACAGCTACACACACACACACACACACACACACACACACACACACACACACACACACACACACACACACACACACACACACACACACACACACACACACACATCACACAACATATTTGGTCAGAAGCAGAACATATGAAATGTCTTGTTATGAAATGTTCTTTTTAGCTAAATGGCATTTGAAACAATATGTTGTTTGTTACGGTAGTTTGGTGACTCACGTGTCGAGCAGTCTGCCCCAGAGAACCCAGCCGGACACTGACACACGGCGAGCTCCTCCTGCACCGAGCAGGACCCTGAACCGCAGGGGTTTGGATCACAGGGGTCTGAGGAGGTTGAAAAGGTTCAAAGTTAAGTCATTTAGATTTTGTAGTTCTAACTCATCAGCGGTAAGAAAATATAGTCAGTTTATCAAAATGTCTTGCGATGTTGTGGGAGATGCAATGGGACGGCTAGTGCCTGAAGCTGTGGACTTGTTTGCATATTTTAAATGGTAGATGCATTTGAGGCACAGACAAAAATTGCCAGAAGTAACCTTGTAGTTTCTTTCTAAAGTATTACCTGTTACTTTGAATGGACACCTGGCTTTTGGGTGGACAAATATGTGTATTTCCCAAAATGTTGAACATGCATGTATGGCAGATTTTTTGGCCTAGTAAAACAGTTTGATCTAAAGACACATACCTTCCACTACTTCAGGCTGCTCCATGACGGAAGGAGTTGCGTAGGACACTGACGGTGCTGTGGTAGGGCTGGTGTAGGCGGCGTCTGGAGTCACGGCATAAACTGTAGGTTCTGCATGTCTTTCCAGATCCTCTTCCTCGTGTCCTGATTGGTCGGTTCTGGTAGTTTCCTCATAGGTTGTAGTCTGAGAAGATAATTCCTGAGGGACTCCACTTCCGGAGTGATGCATGTTAATGTCGAAGGTGCCACTGAACTCATGATGGCTCCCTGACCCACTGCCTTGCCCGCTGATCTCCACCACTCCTCGGCCATGCTCTGGGTGGCGTATCTGTGGCGCTTCGGTCACTTCCATCATGTTGTTGTCCGTGAGGTAGATGACGTCCCCTGGATGCTGGATAAAGTCCTCGGAGCCGGAGCCGCTGCCTGAGATACCGGATGAAAAGCCGCTGTGGAACCCGGATCCAAACGGACGATATCCAGACACCTCCTGCTCACCGGACGGCTGGACTGTCAGGTCAACGCCACCCTGGTCGACGAATGAGATGCCAGAAAATCCACCGGAGCCTGACCCGGACATACTTCCAGATCCAGAGGCGCTCGACTCCAAGTTAACCCCACTGCTGTCAATGCCTCCCTGGCCCCACTCCTGCTCAGTGGCTCTTGGGGGAGTTGGCCACACCTCCTTCATATTCCCGTCCACCATGATGATCATTGAGTCTCCACTGCTACCACTAATGTCCCCACTTCCGCTGGTAAAACCTGATCCGGATGACTTGAAGCCAGAGTACTGTCCGTCGAACCCTTCCCCAGATCCAGATCCAGATTGACTACCACCTTCTCCGGATGAGACGAAGACGGCGCTTCCTCCTTCTGCCTCCTGCGGCCCTCCAGAGGTGGACTCACCCCCGGAGAAGACGTCAGGGTGTCCGCTGAAGAGGACCTGTCCCGAACCGGAGGAATCACCACTGGACCCCGAGGTGCTGGACCCCGAGGTGCTGGACCCCGAGGTGCTGGACTCCGAGGTAATGGACCCCGAGGTGCTGGACTCCTCTGGGATCTCCCCGCTGGATGAAGGTTCAGCTGATCCAGAGCCAGACACATCAACAGGTTTGGAGGTTGAGATTGGAGGTAAAATTGGACTCACTGGGGGAAACATGAAAACAAATCAAGAGTTCATTAGATACTACTAATCAAATGCTGTGTTTAGCTTCATGGTAAAATGCACTTTGTGTCTTACCAGTGGGAGCAACTTGTTGAGTTGTGACGGTTGTCTTGTTGACAAACTCCTCTATTTCGGTAATGTTTACACTGGTTTCAGTTTCATTGTAGTGTACATTGGTGTCAACTAAAATCCAACAAACAAGAGATTCAATTATTAACTACAATATTACTAAACTTCTGAAAAATTTACTTTTGGACAATGTTTTAGAAATATTAAAACTTTACAACCAAGCCAAGGTAATTACAAGAACTTCATAGAAAGTATTTCAAGCATTTGTCTCACCTGTGGGAACCGAGTGATCAACTTTGACTATGGTCTTCTTTATCACATCCACCGTCAAGAAATCAATCGTCAGATCAATACTGGTTTCATTTTCAACGTGATCAACTGGAATTTCAGCTGAAAAAGACAAAAGGAAAGAAGAAATGCTCAGTATGTAGGATATAGCATTCATATAGATAGATAGATAGATAGATGGATAGATAGATAGATAGATAGATAGATAGATAGATAGATAGATAGATAGGTACTTTATTGGTAACAATTTGGGAAATGTTTGCGATGTACATACTGTAAGAGAAATTAAGATACTAGAAATAAACAGTCCAAAATATTTCTGAAATAGAAATAAAATAGCATTAAAAAATAAATATATATACATGAGGAAAATATACATGTGGAAATACAAATTTCCAGTAACAAATATAATGCAGGATATAATGTTGGTGATTTTGTCTGGAAGATGATGGAGATGTTAAGAAACGTAGTATTTCAGCTATTCCTTTCCTTCTAAAATCTACACGTTCCTACCTTTGAAACAATAGGCGTCGTAGCGTGAGTGTTCATCGGGGAATCCTGTCTGGTTGGGGTAGGCGTGGATCATGTGGACGCCGACCTGCCCTCCTCCACAGTGGGACCTGGGGGTTGTGATGGGGAAGCGGACGCTGCGGTCCAACAACCAGCCCGGGCGGCACTTATCCAGCCCCTGGTTCCAGGCGGCAAACAGCTGTCCGGTGGTGGCCAGCGTCGTGTTGAGTTTCTGACAGTGTTGCACAGCCTCCTCGTACGAGAAGCTGTCGTAGTCACTGGTGAAGAAGACCTCACCTGGAATAATAATACAGCTTTGTTTATATAGCACTTTTCATACAACACATGCAGTTGATGTGTGGATATAAATTAAAGCTCCTCACCTTTCAGACGTTCCATATAACAAAACACATCGAATTGTTCGCTTGCTGGTCTCAGGCCGTAGGATCTGACTCCGGGGATGTGAGGCAGATTACCGGCACAGTTATCTCTGGGCGACACGATGGGATACCTGAACAGGAAAGAGGATAGGGGGACACTTTAGTACGGCTTTTCGTTTCTGTAACATCCCTCGAGGAATCAGTTTTGTTAATCAGAATCAGAATACCTTTAATCGTCGCATAGAGTTGTTTAGAGTTTTGTATAAACCATATTCAACCAGGGATTTTAAATCCTGGGGTTTTGATTGGTTTCAAATAGTTTATTAATAATAATAATANTTGGGGAAGGAAGGGTTATTTAGTTTAACCCAGTTACAGACCTGGAAGTAGCGAAATAGATGAGAGTCTGGGAGGCTACATTTGTCAGAGAGTTGGCTAAAGCTACCGAAAACATTGTTGATGTAAAGGTCCCTTACTCTGGTTAAACAGGTGAGTTTTTAATGATGACCTGAAGATGTCCAAACAAAACCCAATGTTGAAACAAGAGTAGTATGGTCTTTAAGATGTTATAATCATCCTATCTCATTGTCAGGTTTTAAATTGCAGTAAAAAGCCTAGTCCAGTAATTATTATTTTGGGAAACAGCAAGGATTTTGATGAACTATTCAACAAAAATCTGTAATCATTAAATTCAATGAAAATCAGCCCATTATGGGAAACATGTTGTATATATTGGTTGATCTCTGTTTTCCCTCGCCTCCTGCTCACCTGACAGTCTGGTCTCGCAGCCAGCCGGCGTCACATTGGTGAAGACCTTTCTCGAAGGCCGCCTGCAGCTGCTGGCCGCTGGCGATGACGGCGCCGACGCTCTGACACGCCTGCTGAGCCGCCAGGAAGCTCAGAGTGTACCGACCGGTGATGGGACGGTAGTGAAACACCACACCTGGATGAGGAGGGGGAGGGAAGAAAGCAGTTGCAGTCGTTGTTTTTTTTGATAAAGAAACTACCGTAATTTAAAAGCAAAGATAAAAAAACATGAATACCAAAGGTACATGTATAAAAGTTACAGTGCAGTGTGAGATATGATAGGGTAACAAGCTTTTTGCTTCATCAGTACATCAAGTTCAAATTAGTGACACAGATTTGTTTCTTCATTTTATCACTCCCCGTTTCCAAATGAGTCATGTGAATGGTTCATCACACATTCAAAAGGCCTTTTTGAGACACGTTCAACATTTAAATCCAACTTCTTTCTTAACTTTTATTACTTTAAAAGTAATTATAAAAAGGCAGGAACTTGCAAAGCCAATGCCAATAGCCGCGTTCACACCGCAGTACTTTTTTCCCACTTTAGTTCTGATATAGTTCGGAAATGTCGCGTTCACACCAAAAAGAGCCGGAACTAAAATTAGTTCATGAGAACCTTTTTACCCCCTTTTCAGTCCCTGCTAGAGAACAGGGACTTTCGTGGGAGAAAAAGGTTCCTGTGTCTGATTGGCTGGGCGAAATGCCCCGTCAAACTCCCAAAAAAGTTTGTGAAGCCGCCATTTTATTAGCATTATTAGCATTAGCATTAGCCCAGCGCAGAAACGCAGAGAGACTAACTTATGTCAACACAAAATGAAACATGGGAGC